GTCAAGGATTCGATTGGTTCTGCTCTCTTGTCTAGTTGGCCCATTCGAAGTATTTACTGTTTTCATGAGTGAAAATGGCACTGAAAACCTTAAGGAGCGAAATTTGAAGGGCGCATTGTACAAAATAGGAGTAAAGTCATCCGCATAGAATTACCGTAGATTAATTCGATCCACCCACTTTGGAGAATCTCGCTGTTCAAGCTAGTGTGAAACTCCTAGTCTCGTAAGTTTAGTTTCGCACCAAAGGTCCCTTAAATGTCACCTCCTAGGTTATTAATGTCAACTCGACTCAAAAATGTAGCTTTCTGTATTCAATTGATTTGGACGTCATCATAAAATACTTCTTTGTCCACCTGTTTTTCCATTGTTTTCAATCAATTCACTTTTATCCATTTTATTTTTAGATCCCTTAGAATTTGTTTTCTTCAGAGTTGAGCGGCCAAGATGAAAACAGCGACCCGGAAGTGGAAGAATACATCGAACGAATCGTACGTGAGGAAAATCCAGGTGAATGAGGCTTATTTCCTTGTCTTGTCAAGCTATCGGTTTTGCAGCCGTTGAAGATTTACCGCTCTCTCCTTACTCTATCGATCTATCGATTTTTTGCAATTATTGTAGATCTCTCACAACTCTCTGATGAACAATTGAATGAACTAATTCGTCGTCTGTTCATTCTGAAGAACAACCTTTCTGACGGAGATGGTGCCGATGCTGATCAAGGTGAGATTTAGCCTATATAATTCACATACTAGTAAGTCGTTTTCCGGATGTTCAACTATCAGTTTGCTTTTAATCGGTACCTAAGCGTGTTTCTTCCCTGACACCCCAAAAACGTGAAGGGAAGCAGTCCATTGCTGTAGGACGATCCAGCCGCTTCCTGCTCCTACTCGTCTCGATGTTGATAAACATCCCAAAGCAGTTTTTTTTCCTGGGAACGCCTGCTATAACTGGTTTGTTGCCCAGCGCAGATTCAATCTTCGCTCTAAACTTATCCCTGAACGGACCCCAAACTGAATACTTTGTTGCAAGATCCGTGGACCGCCCGGCAGTGTCTTATGTCAGGGTACTACTGCTGTATCATCATAAG